ACCCTAAAACCTCAACCCTAAACCCTTAAACCTAAAAACCCCGAAGCCTCTAAACCCCCAGCCCAAGAACCCTTGCAAATCCGCGCTTTTTTTCGGGTGTCTCTCACTGGTAGAGAGCTCCTGCCGCCCTGGCACCGGTGCTTTTCCAAGCTATGCACTTCTAAGGCTTCCAGCCCTTATAGCCCTTATATGTTTTATACATACACATCTATAATGCTAACAGCTAACATATCTATAAAACACCTGGTGCCAGGGCAGCAACTTCGAAGCCCCGTCTTAGGGCTCGCGATCCTACTCTACTGGCTTTTCCAAGCCGGCTTTTCCAAGCCACTGAACCTGTCTGCTGCTCGGCTGGCTTTTCCAAGCCAGCCGATGTGCCTGCTACCATGGGCTTTTCCAAGCCTTCTCCGGACCATAGCTTTTCCAAGCTACGGCAGGAGGTCGAGGATGTCATTGACTGCCTCGGGGAAGTCCTTGACAACCTTGACCCCCTTCCTTTTCAGGAATTTGGAGTGATTCTGCTCCGGAGTCTGCACTGCAAAGCACATCTCGCAGACCTTGTACTCAAGGCATTCAGAAATCACCCGCCAGGCATCGTCTATGCAATACGATGCCGAGTTGTAGTCGGCAATGGCGGCTTTTCCAAGCTCGCCACACTTCTCGTAAGTGACCGCCAGCTTCAGGCGAAGCTCTGGGCTTCGTTTCTGCATCGACTTTTCCAAGTCTTTGAGCTGGCGGGTCACTTCCTTCTCCCTTTTATAGGTCGTCACGTACGTACACACGTACACATCCGTGTGATCGCACAGACGGTGCAGGGCCTCCACGTTTTCGGCGGGAATCGACCCCTGCTTTTCCAAGCAGTTGTGAAAGTCCAGCTGCACCAGCTTTCTCCCTGGTGTCAGCTTGACCTCACCGGTGGATCGAAAGCCTTTTTTGCCCTGCCTGCCCTGCTGCGGAGCAGGAGATGCTTTTCCAAGCTTCTCTTTGTCCTCCTCGTCGGCATCCCAGTCCACCTCCTCTTCGACCTCCTCCTCCTTCGTCTCCTCCACTTTGGGCAGCTTTGGCGGCTTGCCTTGCGGGGTCTCGGAGCTGCTGGAGCTCGATGGCGGATTAGCTTTTCCAAGCTCATCCGCCTCCTTGTTCGCCTTAGCTTTTCCAAGCTCCTCTTCGTATTTGAGCTCCTCGAGCCGCTGCTTCATTTTACGATCGGCTTTAGCCAACTTTTCCAAGTGTGCCTTCATGCTTTCGACCGTGTCTGGCTGGTGCTCGGCACCTCTTTTCTCCAGGACATCCCACTGCTTGCCCCTTCTTTTGTCTTGGCGGGTCTTCGAAGTGGTGCCAGAGCCTTTCGGCCGCTTGTGCGAGTTAAGCCCCTCGGAGTCTGAGGAGCTCTTCTGGCTTTTCCAAGCCTCGTCGTTCTTGGAGCTGGAGCTTTTGCTTTTCCAAGCCTGGTCGTCGTCCTTGTTGTCTTTCGAACTTCTGTCGTGCCAGTCTTTGGCGGGCTGGCTGGTGCTTTTCCAAGCCTTGTCGTCGTCCTTATCTTTCCAACTTCTGTCGTGCCAGTAGTTGGCGGGCTGGGCGGGGCTTTCCCAAGCCTGCCAGTCCCAGGACGAGCTTTTCCAAGCCTGCCAGTCTCTGCTCCAGCTATCCTCGTAGCTGTCGTTCTGCCAGCCCATGGCTTTTCCAAGCCAGCTGGAGAGCTGGCTTTTCCAAGCCTGTCGAGGCTGCCGAAGCCTCCAGCAGCTACAAGCTTTTCCAAGCCTGCAGCTCTTCGGCTACAGGCTTTTCCAAGCCGTGAGCCGGGACTATGGCTCAAAACTACGGCTGCTGGCTACGACTGCTAGCCTACAACCTACTGTGTCTGCGACTGTGCTGCTATAGGCCTAAGGAACCCCAAGAAGGGAGGGCCCTACCGGCGGCCCTAGAAGGACCTAAAGCGGCACTACAACCTGAAGGTAGACTTGAACCCCCACACCCCCAGGCTAAAAACCCGGCCTGAAGTAGAGAGAGAGTTATAAAGCCCCGGCCTATTATACCCTAAACCCCACAATCTATATATATATATATATATATATATATATCACATATAGACCCCCAAGGTCTTTGAAGAAACCCAGTTGCTTCTCTCTGTGAAAGTGTTCTGTCTGTGTGCTCTGCTGTGTCATGCTGTCCTGCATGGTCCATGCATGCATGCTCGGAGCCTCGCACTGCCGTGTATATATATATATATACATGCACACGTTCCAAAAAATGTGAACATGCGAAAACGTACATGCAAGAGACGAAAATCAAGCTCCATGTCTCAATTTTTCGCAGCCAGGAGGCCGAGAAAGTCGAAAGCGGTCGGCCTACCCCTAAAAACTTTTCCAAGTTTCTGCAGGACCTACAGAGGCCAGGCTTTTCCAAGCGGGCCACCACAGTAGCGAACGAAAGAACGAAGCGGCAGCTAGTGTTTTTCCAAACACGTCCTTCAGCAGCCATGTTGGCTGCAGAGGTGCTCACGGAGGTCCCTGGCCTCCTCCTTAGTGAGGTGCTCCTTTTCCAAGGTTGCTTTGATTTCGTCGATGATGCCTTCGAAGGCAGGGCATCTCGACTGCGACACCTCAATAATAAGCCGCATTTTCTCGCCAACCTCTGTCCTGCCAAGCAAGTAGGCCCTGCGAGGGTTGCTGGCATTCGTTTTTGTGATGGCAAGCCATGGCTTCCGCTTTGGCTTTTCCAAGCCTTTTGGCTTTTCCAAGCCTTTTGGCTTTTCCAAGCCTTTTGCCGCCACGGCTTTTGCCTTTCCCTTGGCTTTCGGGGAGGCCTTTGCCTTCGCCTTCGCTTTCGCCTTCGCTTTAGCCGCTGGGGCGGCTTTCGCTTTGCCTTTAGCCTTGGCTTTCGCTTTCGGCGAAGCCTTTGGCTCGGCAGCTTCTGCCTCAGCCGCCTCTGCTTTCCCAAGCAGCTTCCTCTTCTTCTTCTTTCGTTTCTTCTTTTTGTTTTCCTCGGCAGGGGCTGAGTAGCCCAGGAGCTCAGAAAGGTTCTCCTGCTTTGCCGGAACCCTGCTCCCGGCTCTTTTCCTGGAGACCAGCTCCGGCTCAAAGGGGACAAGTGCCAAACTCGACGATGGCTTTTCCAAGCCAACCCCGGGGTCCTTGGACGAAGAGCTGGGCTCTCCTCGCTGCTTCTTCGAGGCTGGGGGGCTGTCGAACATTCGTGGCAGGCCGAAGCTGTTGAGCGACACGTCGTCGCTGTCCCGCTTCTTAAGCTTCCTGGGTGTCTTTTCCAAGTCTCTGCTTTTGCCAGGCCCCGACTTTCCCAAGTCCGGCTGGGCGGACGAGGGCTTTTCCAAGCTTTCCTCGTCTTTAAGGGTGAGCAACTGCAGCCCAGCCTGCAGCTGCTGGAACTCCTGTCTGCTGAGCTTGGCTGCTGCCTTTCCCAAGGCGCCTTCTCCATCTCGCTTTATCTTGCGAAGATGGGTCAACAGACAGTTGATCCTTTCCACCCTTAGCCCAACCCACACCTGTCCGCTGCAATCCGAGGAATTGAGCGACGGACAGTGTGCAAGGAGCGACAGCAGAGCCGCCCTGAGGGGCTGGGCATGGACCTCCCCACTTGGAGAAACCTTCAAAAGGTTTCTCCACAGGTCCGCCAGGCCCACCAGGGCTTTCCAGTCCGGGGCCTGGCTGCTGCTTATCCGCTCGTAAGCGCCCATGTCGGCGACCATGGGCTGATAGAGCTTCAGGGCCGTATAAAGGACCCCGGAGTCTATCATGGGCTTCGGACTATGCCTTGCCCCGCCCCTGACCATCTTTCCCAAGTGGACAGCTTAAGCTTTCCCAAGCTTCGCCGAACCGGTTTTCCCAAACCGATGAAGTAACAGTTGGGCTTTCGCAATCCAGGCTTTCCCAAGCCTATATTTTCCGAAGAGAACCAAAAAACCTGCTGTTGCAGGTGAAACTTTCGCAGGAAGGCCAGGGGAGGAAGGCGACTACCTACCTACTTTCGCTGCCTACTCTGCCTGCTCTGGCTGCTCTGCTGCCTGCATGGTGCTGTACTGCTGCTGCCGGCCTGCTGACCGATCTGGTTTAAGGTTTGTAGAGTGCTGTGCCTACCCAAACATATGCTTTTGCCTGGTGGACTGCTTCTGAACTGTACACTCTCGCTGGGAGCACGGCGGGCAGCGGCGGGCATGCAATTCGATCACTCCAAAAACATGCACTGCAGCACATGATATGCCAAATCAATCGCATTATGCATGCTTTTCCAAGCATGCACATCCATCATGAAAATGCCATGAAAATCATATATGAGAATCAATATGAGAATCAATATGCGAATCAATATGCTAATCAATATGCTAATCAATATGCTAATCAATATGCTAATCAATATGCTAATCAATATGCTAATCAATATGTCGTTTTTTTTGCATATTGATTTTTGGCGCTGCGCCAAAAATCAATATCTGTTTGCGAAATTGATTGATTGTAATCAATATGGGATGCTCAGGGGACTTTCGGTCAACTCACCTAAACGGACCAAACCGCCAACCCCAGCCCCAGCCACAGCGCCGGCTCCAGCCAACCCCAACCAGCCCAGCCCACTCCCAGAATCAAAACACCAAAGTAAAAAACGAAACTTTCGCTCAAAACCCGCTCAAAACCCCGGACCCAAGCCCCCACCAGCCCACTCCCAACATGAAAACATCAAGTTAAAAAACAAAACTTTCGCTCAAAACCCCGGACCCAAACCTTTCGTTCAGAATTTCAATGCTTCGTAGCCCAGCCCACCCACCCCACCCAGCCACCCTAGCCCCCCGCTGCAGCCCCCGTAGCCCAACCCAGTCCAGCCCCAGCCCAGCCCAGCCCCCACCAGCCCACTCCCAACATGAAAACATCAAGTTAAAAAACAAAACTTTCGCTCAAAACCCCGGACCCAAACCCTATACAATTTCTATAAACCACTAAACCCTAAACCCCTAAACCCTAACCCTTACAGAAGCCCCGACTGGCACCGGCCTCCAGCTTTGGTTTCGGATCGCTGGGGCAGCAACGCGCTCCCCCGTTCGGATGTCAAAGAACAGGACCTGAGGATTTACCGCGACCTAGACCTACTAAACCCTACTTTTCTGTAGGTTCTTATTTTAAACCCTAATATGGGATTTAAAGGGACCCTACAAAAAACTACGTTCTGGTAGGTTAAGGGAGGGTTTAGGGTGAAAGGCTGGACCTCCTTGAGAGAGTCTAAGGTTTAGGTAGGACTTCAGGATTTGGGCCTTAGGTTCGTTTTCAGTTTATGATTCAATGTACGTGGGGTCTATTTAAGGTTGGGGTTTCGGGTACAGGGTCTAGGGCTACGGTTTGTGTAATTATGTCTTCTGAGCACCTCAATGGCAGGACCGCCTTGTTTTATGATTTTGGGGCTTGGGGTAGAAGCAAGAATACTCAAAACAATCCTCATGTCAACAGGACCAGGTCTGGCAGAAATACACAGAATGCAGAGAAGCAGAAAAGCCCTACTCGCAATGATTTCTAGATTCGATTGACGAGAGAAGGAAGAACGCCAGCCTTCATCCTCGAATAGACGTAGACAGGTCACAAGGACAATGCTTATACTTATACCGCATATGTACATGCTGGAAGGCCTGCAATGGTGTAGCAAAGCTACCCGGCTCCCTCAACCCTGAACTGCTAACCCCCGACTCCGCCCGAACGTACGCCTTCTAGATCCCATCCCAGACTTTTCGTGTCTTGAGCCGGATGATATTGCGGCCTAAATAAGTTTTTTGCATTGTAACCCAAGATCATGAGGAACCTTTAACCAACAGTGTTGGTGAGTATCGAGGCTCCTGTGTTACACCCAAAACGGAGAGTCGGAGCACCTGCCCATCCTTGGCATTGCTCATGACAAAGGCTCTGTCCGAGCTGACCTGCAGCTGCGTGATGCCGCCCGAGTTGCCTCCAAACGCAAAGCCACTCACAACACTTTGAAGCTAGAGGGTCACAACACGGCTACTGTTTCTCTTTCTCTGTTTTTTAACTCAAGTGAACTGGCAAACGAGAAATCCAGAGACGACAAACGAGACAGAGGGAAAGGAAAAAACCTCGACGAAGCCTTCCTAGCCGTGCTTTCTCGAACATGCGGCACCTGAGCCAGAAAACCAGGGTTGGGGATCTCTAGGCTACGGAACTTGGGGGTTTGGGGTCTATAGCTGTAGAGCTTCAGGGCTGAAAGGGCCTAGGACTTCTGACGCGTTTGATTGTCAAGCCTCATCCCTCGGAAAGCCTTTGGCCCGAAGATATATCCAACATTCAAAACAAACACCAGCAAGGCAACCTCACGAGCGAAACAGCAGACGTTTCGTTGCTGTCATCATAGTTCCTCGCAGTGGGAAGTGAAAGTACACGTTTTGCCGGTACTATGGTCCAAGAACACGGCAACTGGCAGTGTTCTCGCTGGCCTTCTTCTGCGCCCTGCTCGTGTTTTTGCTAGGCTTCACATCATGGCTATTGCCACCCGTCTGCTTTCTACTCGGCTTTATCACATACTGCCACTAATGCATGTTGCGAAGACGGTTCTTCACCTGAAAAACAACCGAAAGTGCCCTGCGCAACATCCTAACCAACAAGCCATGAGGGAAAAGAACAGGCAACACCATTCCGATCCCCGAAATCCCGAACCCCAAAGCCTAAACCCCTAAACCCTACACCCCCCAAACTCCCCAAACCCTCCCCCCCCGAACCCAGGCCTTTGAGCACTCGGATGCACTTTAGGCCGGGTGCATCAAAGATGTAGATCTGCTGATCCCAACATGCTGCGGCCAGCCGATTCTCCTCCCGGAAACGCAAAAAATCCTAGGGTTCAGGGTTTAGTGTTCAGGGTTTAGGGTTTAGGGTTTAGGGTTTAAGTTTACGATTATTCATTCACTCGAAAAACCCTAGGGGTTTGGGGGCTAGGGTCTCAAAGACATGTTCTGTTTTCATGTCACGGCTCAGGGTAACCCTAGACCCTTAGCCCCACAATCCTCAGCCTTAACCCTGACTCCTACACCCTAAACTGGCCCTAAACCAGAAAACTCTCCTTTGGCTTGGGCCCAAGATTGCCCGCACTCCAAGGCCGAAGCCCTCCACTCTGCAAGCCCCTGCAAACCCTGACTTCATCGATGCTGCAGACTCCTAGAATGCCACTGAAACAAGCGAACAGAAAGCCCTCAGCTCGTAAACCCTAATTAAACTCTTAGAATTGCCTTGCGAAACACCAATATAGAAACCGTACAAACCTGAGTCCTCCACAAACTCCAGGACGGAGATGCGCTCGCGCAGCTTCGACTGGCAGACGACCTCTGCTTCCCACACTGCCCTCCCCCGATGCTGGAAATCACTAACGTTCACCGAGAACCCTAATATAGGGGCCTTAACAATTACAACGGGGTTTTTGGGATATATTACACCCTGAGCATCCCATATTGATTACAATCAATATCTTGATTTTGATGGTTCGCGAAATCAATATGTCATATTGATTCTTTGACCATCCATGATCAATATGTAAAAATCAATATACAGATCAATCTACAAATCAATATGCACATCAATATACAAATCAATATGCGAATCAATATAGTTAAAAATATATTGATATGTTTTGAGAACCACGTGCTGCGAAAACGTCCAGTACAGTCAGCTGCCTACCGAGCTATAAGCCGCTAAGCCAGCAGATCTTTTCCAAGAGTCTGCCAATGTGTGTAAGAGTCGCATCAGTCTTCCCAGATGCTCTGGCTTGTGAGAAGGAATCGCTCACTGCGGATCAAAAGGTGAAGCAACACTCGATACTTGTTCGCAACTTTAAGCGACAGCCTCGAGCTCGCGACACCCATGCTTATCGAGTGGGCCAGGCGGCTCAGTTGTCCGACGAAGTCCTCGGATTTGAAGCACCACTGCATTCTGGGGTTGAGGAATTTGGAATTCCAGAGCAGATGAATGAAAGTGTGGTGCTTCGCCACGACTGCAAAGGAATTCCGCCCCTTTTCCAAGGACCAGTCATGCAGCCACGAATAATCATCCAAGAAACCTTTTCCAAGGTTCAGAGACCGGGAAAACTCCTGGTCTGTGAGCACTGGCCCTGCCTCGTCCCACAAAGCCACCAGCTTTTCCAAGCAGTTGGCTGCAGAGATCATTTTCTGCTCGTGAGGCTTTTCCAAGCTAAACATTCTCTTGAGGACTGGCACAAGGCAAGGCAACAAATGCTTCGCCTCTCCTCCTTTGCAATCCAGATCTGCACTCCTTTTCCAAGGATTTTTGGGGTCGCACAGCATGCTGAGCTTCAAGTTTGTCAGCCTGCAGGCAACTTTATTCTCGGAGTACTCTGCTTGCACTTGCGAGAAGATGAGTGCCAGCCTTTCCCAAGGCTTCTTCTTGGCAACCACACCGGGCCCCTCATAGTAGCAAGCATAATGCAAAATGCCGCCTATGAGGTGACCGTACAAGCCCTTGGTGAAGAGAATGTGCAAGGGGTCGCCCCTCACGTTGGCTGCTGTGACCCCGGGCAGCTGAAAAAGCGCATGGTTGGATACAGGGTGACCTGCATGCTCTGCAGGTGTCCAAACTCGAAAGGTTTGCTTTTCCAAGCTAATCTGCTTGTAGTGTTTTTCCAAACAGCAGCCTTTCCAGTTCTCTGCATCACATTCCCAGCACGGGAAGTGGGAGGCCCAATGGCCAAGCTTCAAATGGTTGGCGAAGAAGTCGTGATCCCCTATGATGGCCCAGATATAGGCTTTCCAGCCATCTGGGTGCAGGGGTTTTCCCCTGTTTTCGTACAACGGGCTGCCTTTTTCCAAGGGCAGCCCGTTGTAATCTGTTTCTGGGTGGAAGCCTTTCCCAAGGCTTTCAAAGCTCCACTTGAGCACCTTCCCAATGGGCTCCCATGTTCGTGGAGCGGTGCAGCTTTTGGGAAACGATGCCAGGTACAGGTTCGTTTCCAGGGAGCTCAAGCCACAACCCAAAGCCCCGAAGGAGAAAGTGAGCAGACTGTCTCTACTTTGAAATTCCACCCCATCGCCATGTAAAAACAAAGGCACTGTCTTCTCCCTCCAATCCTTTTCCAAGGTCATGGGATGGGCATTTAGCTTGCTATCCCCGCTTTTTTCCACCTGCTTCCAAAACTTTCCCAAGCTGTCGCAGTTAAAGGTTTTCTTGAAGAACTCGGGGTAGTTGGCGCCCAAGTTCGCAAAGACCAGGTGTGGCAGGAAGACCTGTGCCTCCTCATCCTTTTCCACGGATAGTTTCTCGGGGTCCTTTTCCAAGGATGCCTCGTCCTTTCCCAAGCAGGCTTTGTTGTCAAGGCATCGTATTTTTACTTTGCAGGCTTCGTCCAGGCCAACATTCCTTACAAACCTTCGCATCAGCTGCTTGTGAATGTTGCCTGGCTGCTCGCCCCAGTTGCCTGCCTGAGCAATCTCCAAAAGGTCTGGGTGCTTTGCACCGTCCACCACCGCCAAGGAAGCAAGCTCCCGAATCATGGTCGCACTGAGCTTCCCGTGAGCCCACAATGCGAGGAGCTTGGCGGCCAAGCTGGAGGTTACTTCGTCCTTTTCCAAGGCTTCTTTGGCGAACTCCGGCAATTCATCGTTATTCTTTCTTTGAGCTTTTCCAAGCTCCTGGTCCATCTTCCAGCCTCTCAAACGTTTGGTCATGGCTTTCCTCGGTTTTTCCGAGCCTATAGATACATGTAGCTGGCGGCTTCTATCCCAAACTGCACAGGCGACTGCTGCAGCAGCTGTTTCTTTGAACCTAAAGGTCTGCAGACGTGCAGTTTCAATGCATGCTTTCGAACAAAACATGC